AATGTGTTATTTTTTTTCTCATATAAAATTCAGCTTTGTCTGTTTAATTTTTCCTATTGCAAGCTGATAAACTAGTCTTAGAGATGATTTATCTTAAGCTGGTAACATCATTTATCAAGTAATCAAGGGGTTTGTTTCCTTGCTTTTAAAAATGTAATTTTTTCTTTAGAATATTAAGAAAACTGTACTAGCCCATTTAATCCAATAAAGGAAATACTACATTGGATTCCCCATTTCTTAGAACAAGTGTCTATGACCTGATTCCTCAATTTGGGTAGAATTGAAAGGCATCTTATATAGTGAAGTTTATTTTTAGTTCCCCTTCCTAATCTATCCTGTTGCATAGGCTGCAAGAAAGACAAGCCTTGCTCACTACTTAATAACAGTGCTCAATAAACCAAGAGTTACCAAGTTGGAAGGTATCACAGCCTTTTTTGAGATTTCCTGGGTTGGGCTTTTCACCAAGTGCTCTTCAGTCTAGCAGCAATGCCAGACGGATGTCTATCCAACCTTACTAACCTATTTTTTGCTGAATGAAAATACTGACCCTTTGAGTCCAAAGAGACTCACTTGATCAAAAGAGTTTGTGATCTCCATTCAGTGGTAAGGATGTGGACCTTGATGACCTGGACACAGAAAAGGTGCCCAGTGTTTCATGTAGTGGAATCAAAAAAGAGTCAGAAAGAAAGAGACTTTGAAATTAATTATACAGTGGGATTAAATTTTTCAAAGTACTAATATAGCTTAGGAAAAACAAATTTTTTTTCATTTCTATGAGGACAATTGCAGATTGGATATTGTGTGCATTTTCCATTCTAATTTAGACCAGTTGAAAGGAATAAATAATGAAGTACTGACATATTTATTTTGCATCTACTAAGCTTATCCATTAAAATGGATTTATCTGCACCATTTCCCTTAAATTACAATCATGCCCTAGTTTTACAGCAATTTTCTGTATCTGGTGAAATTACATTTCCAGAAGCTCATCAGACATTTGGGGTCACAGTGTTCCCCTGGGTCAGAAGCATGTATATGTATATAGCCATGCTGTTTCTTCCAGATGTGGGAGCTCAACATTACCTGAACCCAAACTCTGACAGAATAGTTTATCCACTTCTGTGGTCAAAGATGTAATGTTATTCATATATGTTGCTTGCTCAAAGATTCCTTTGTAAAATGGGTTTCTGATCATTCAGTTTCTTAAAATGCAGATGAAATCTGTATTTGTCTCACAGCTGCTTTTTAAAGCAATTTTGATATATCTGCTCAATTTGGAATTGGATGAGTGACTATTTGCTATGGATTCTGATTCTGTGAGGTTTACTTCTAAATACAACCTTATATATGCACAAAACATGGAGACTTTCAACTTCGTTTTTAAAGATTTATTTTCTGTTCAGTCATTATCATCTAAGCCCCATTTTCCATATGCAATGCTTATATTTTCTATAATGGGGACTACCAGTTCTCTCCCTCTACCTCCCCATAACTTACTAACAAACCTAATGGCTCCTATAATTTAGAAAAAACACTCTTTAATATTCAACAAAGCTATGTTCAATACTCTCAAAATACTATTTCAATGAGTTTTTTACAAAAAGAGTAAAGCAATCAAAACAGCCATGGTGTGTGTGTAAAGTCAGGTACAGAAATCCCCACCCCCACTTCCTACCCCAGAGAGTTAAGCACCCTTGTTATGTACATCCTTCTGGAGCTTTTTTGCATCCCTTTACTTAAGCACAGACCCATATGAATTACTGTGCACCTTGCTTTTTTCACTGGGCCACAGGGGCTGGAGCTCTTATATACCCTTCAGTGTATAAGCTTATATCTACATTTTTAAAACCCCTGCATGAAACCCAAGGAAAGTGTTTAGCAACTCTCCACTGATGGATATTTAGGCTATGTGGTTTTTCACATATTAAAATACTTCGATGACCTCATTTATGTAGTACAGATGCCTGGAAGTGGAATCATTGTTTGGTATGACCAAATCGCCTCCCAATCAGGCTGGGCTGACCTGCGCTGTCTCCAGCTTAAGGGGCAATGCCCTGCTCTCCAAATCTTTGCCAATGTGGGGCTTTATCAATATTTTCACATTCTTGCTGGTGTTTTAATAATTTCTAGTTTTTAATTCTTCATTTTGATGCTTTTTGGCTCAGTGTGTGAAGGCTCATGACTGGCATAAAGGTAGTAAGCTTTTATCAGCATAAAAGTTTCCTGATTCCCGTTCGTTGCTTCTACCCTGACTAGTCCTTTACTGGGATCAATGGTGCTGCTCTTGCTGGCTGTTAGCACTTCCTGCTTGTATCGGTCCCCATCCCTTTCTTTTCAACATGTTTCATTTTATAAAGGTAATCTAATTGAACTCTGCCTTTTCACCTAATCTATGAGGGCTTATTTATTAATTGAGGAGTTCTTCACATTTATTGTGAATCCTGATTTGTTGAATCATTTTCCTGACGTCTTAAAGGTTTTAATTTTTATTTTTTTAAGATTATAGTTCATTCATCCTTTCTTTAAAAATTTTTTTTTCTTTTCCATTGGATTAATCAGACTAACCTTTGAACTTGCATTTTAGACAGACATATTTAAACAAATTTTATTAGTTTTGTTTTTACCTTAAATGGGACATACATATATTCATATATTACATATTTAGATTAAATAATCAATGCTGATTGAATAGTAATGTTATTCTAAATGAGTGATTTCATTCAAAACAGTTTATGATCATTCCTTAATATGCACAGTCATCTGTCCCAAGTATTAAAATGAACATAAGGACATGATCAAGTTGATACCAGGGTTCTTGTTCACGGAGTCGAAGAATGAACTTCGCAAACATTCAAGGTAGGAGAGCAAGGGAGAGGCTTTTATTTAGAGATAAAGTTAGAGGACAGAAATCCTGGCTCACGCTGGGAGCAGACAAGAGAGCCCGTGATGGTGCGTTGTCTAGCAGATTTATAGGTAGTTAAGGATTTTCAGAAATAGGGGTAAAGGGCTAGGGGTGCAGACTTGTTGAATGGTCCCAGAATGCTCATTTCTGATGAGTAACAGAAGAAATTTGCTGTTCTGATTCTTTCTCAGGATAGGAGCTTCCCTCTGGGAGCATATAAATTAAGACCACCTGCCCTGCCCCCAAGGTGAGCTGGGTTGTTGTCTGTTTGCTAAAGAGTGTGTTAAGAATCTTACTTCTTAACTCTTTATAGCTGGGCTTGTTTACCAAATTAATCTTTTGCTCAGGTTGCAGATTACTTGATTAGGATTAGAGAAGGAAACAGCATATAGGTGAACTTAAAAGTAAGTTGGGCCTTTTAGCAGGCTAAGGAAAACTTTAAGGTGTCATGATCTAATTGACACAATGAAGTCACAGGTTATGCTGAGGTACCTTTCTTTATCTGGGGAACATTTAAACATTCCAGGCCAAGTTGCTCCTGGCCTTTTGAGCTTTAACTGCTTTCACTGAAGAACGCCTGTATTCCTAGTCTGGTATCTTTACCCTAGAGAATTAGTGTGACTCTGATTTTGTGTAATGCTTAACACAGAGTTTGGGTAGGGGCTCCTTTTGCACATTGGTACATTTTTCTGACTGTAATTTCCTTGTTTGCTTTTTTCTGAAGGCCTTCACCCTAGTCTGCCTAAACCCACAGTCCCTGTCTCACAGTAAGTTAAAAATGCAATGTTAAATACACATACTTTGTGAAAGTTTCAAATTTCAATATCAGCATTTTGATGACATTTTTAAATTGAAAATTTGTTATTAAAACAATGCTATTATTTTTGTATAGCTTCCCTTTTTGGGGGGGCCTGAATATACATTAAGAACTTCTAAATTACTTATAGGTAAAATTTCACTTATCTTTTCCTCTATATCTATAAATTAGAATGGAAAATGCACACTAATCCTATAAATAGATAATAATTACTATCATATAATTCACACCACATGAGTTTGGATAACAAATTGAGCCTGCGTTGCAGCAAAATGCTTGATAATAAACACAGACCATGTTTAAAAACCAGTGTCAAAATCTGTGGTGACACTGTTAAAACATAAGCTAACTTGTGAAATTCTATGAAATTCACTAATTCTAGAAGCTGCATCCTCCATGTTAACTTTAAAGGTATAGAAATTAAGTTATTTTCTACTGCACTAGGCTGCCTGAACATATATACAACAGAGTTTCAAGGAAACTGCTTAATTACAAACAGGGAGCTGATGCCCAGCGTTCTGGAGCTGCCCCATCCGAGATGGCAGTCTGGTCGCTGTGCATGGGGAGCCTTGGAGTGAGGTCACTTAGACTGAGATGTGATGGGAATGTAAACAACTCATGGACTTCAAAGACACAGTACAAAAAAAAAATGTAAAGTGTGTCATAAATAATTTTTACATTGATTACATGCTGGAATGACAGTAAGTGGGTATTAATTTCACCTGTTTTTTTTTAAATGTTGCTACTAGAAAATTTAAAACTGTATTATCTATGAACAGATCTGCTCTAGATGTCTTGACCCACTCAAGAGATGAAAGGTCAGTGAAACTGTGACTACAATGGAAACACTATTTCCCTTGAGCTGCTGACAGAGACTGTGAAGGGTAACCATTCTCAGTGGAGCTCCTGGCTGACATTTATGGTAGGCACCTTACAACCCCTCATGTGACTTTACAGAAAAGGTTCTACTCTGTTCAGAGAATTCTGATAATGCTGCCTTGACAACAGCTGTCCCAGGCCAGCTTCATTTAATTCCACCTCCCCACCCCTCAAGGATTTTGCAGCAATTCTGTGAAAACACAGGAGGCAGCCTCCTCTCTCTAGGGAGCCAAATGGCTACTAAGATGATTTTCCAGGCAAAACTGGAGTTGCCTTTATTTGGTTTAATTATTAGCATAGTTTCCAAATCATCATATGGCCGAGCAATGGGGCCAGTGCCTGAGTTTCTGAGTGGATTCATTCTGTTTTTGTACTATATTAATCCTATCTTCTAAATACTCGGAGCCTTATTGGTTTATAGCAGCTTGCACTAAATGACTTCCTGTGCTCTACAGATATTATTCTAAAAACCTGATTTTCTTTCTTTTTTTAAGTCCTCTTATTTGAAGAGTAGCATTCCAGTTTCCTGACAATGTTATCCTTTTAAAAAAGAAATGTGTTCCTACTTTGGGGTTTTTCTCACTCTCCTACAAGTTTTGTGTATCAAGCCCACAGCTTTCAGTAGTGTTCCCAGAGATGTCCTCACCCATGGCTCCCTTCCAATCCGTGCAGTCACAGGGCCTGAGTCCCCCCAACCTGCCTCCCTACGAGGCATGTACCTTGAATCACCCGTGTACCTGCCATAAGGCCCCATTTCAGCCTCAGTGTCACCAAGCCCTGCCCCTAAACCTAGGTATTTTCAAACAACCTGAAGACTTGACCAGAATATATACCAAATTCCCTCAGACAAAACATACAATAAAAAATCAGCAAGGGGTTTTTTATTCTCCTCACCCTGTTGAAAACATCTGGAGTTTTAGTTTTAGATTCTTTTTAATGTTACTGCTTTTTAACAACTCTTTTTAAGTTTCACTAAACTTTACAACTCCATTTTCAAAAGTTATTTAGACCCAGTCATAATGTTTGTTCCTTTGCTTGTGGCTGTTGGTTACACCTGCATCTTTCCTTTCGCTAAGGTCTCTATCCTGGGTAGTTTTTCACTGTGTCTAGATCATCCTTGAGGGTTCCTTTTGCTTTCCCTCCAAAGACTTTGTGAGATGTAATTTTGGAGTCTGTTGTGTCTAAATCAGACTTTATTTTAGTCCTACACTTAATAGCCTGGGTCTATAGTTATAATCTCAAAATTATTTGCCCCCAGAACTTTGTGAACAAATCAGGGTTGTCTGAGCCTCCATGACTATGGGAGCCAATTCCTATAATCAGTCTCCTATATATATCCATATATATGCTCTTGATTCTGTTTCTCTGGAGAACCTCTATCAACCAAGGTATTTATTCCCCATCCTCAATTCTTACTTGGCATTCAGTGGACTTATTTTTATATCAATTCCTATATTTAGCTCAGGAAAATGATCAGCTCTTATTAACGTTACTACTGCCTCTCCTCTATTTTATTTCCTATAGAATTCCCATTACATGGACATTAATTTCCTGGATTCTATCCTTCATGCCACTTATTTCCAATTTCCATCTCTTCATCTTTCTGCTGAAAATTCTGAAGTAACGCCACATCTGATTCTTCCATATCACTAGTTTGGTCCAGCCTTTTTCATTGTTTTGGTCCTTCCACTAACATTTTTATTTTGGTGGTTAGAACTCCCTCCTGTTTCCCTAGCCTTTGCTTCACAGCTGTGGTGGGACTAGCTTTAAGTGGGACCCTTACCCAACACAATACAGCAAAGGTGTGGAGGTCACTTGTGTGACTGCCGTGCAGACGACTAATGCCCGTCTTGTCAGGACTCTCTCCCTCACTTGCTTCGAGGAAGCAAGCAGCCATGCCGGGAAGGCCTGCATGGCAAGAAATTGTGGGCAGGACAGCAAGAAAATGAGGTCCCCAGTCCAGCCACCTGCAATGAACTGCATGCCCTGACCCTTACCAGTTTGGATGTGGAGCTTCCCTTAGAGCCTCGCATGGCACTGCTGCTCTCTGAGCCCGACACAGAGGACCCAGGCAAGACTGACCCACAGACACTGAAACTGCTAACGTGGGTTGTCTTCAGCCGCTATGTTTGTGGCAATATTGTGACACAGCAGCTGATGTGGTGGCTGCCTGCGTTCTGGGTCCAGGAATTCTCAAGGGTCTGCTCGGTCTCCTGAACTAAGGTCTCCCTCAGTGAGCTGCTCTTCTCTGGGTGACTCCCCGCACTGGGTTCTAGAATGTCTGGAGAAACCTGTGTGGTTCTCAAGTGAGCATGAAAGCCTCTGGCTGTAAGGAACTTTCTTATAGGTGTGATACGGAAGAGTGAAGCAGACAGGAACAAAAAAATACAGTAAGCATAAATATTCCAGTGAGTGACATTCACCAATGAAATACAGGATAATGTGATGGGGACAGGTGTGGAGTTAGTGGGGGCTACTTTACACATGGCCAGGGAAGGTCTTTCTAAAGAAACTGTGCAAGGGAATAGCCATGAGAGGAGATAAGGGAAGAGATTCCCAAACTCAGGGAACAGAAAGTATAAAAGCCCTTACTCCTTATGCAACTTTCTAATCACTGCTGTAGGAATCAACACTAACTCAGCAGCCTGGAACAACACACATTTATTATCTCACAGTCCACAGGTCAGAAGTTGGAAAGGCTTGGCTGGATTCTCTGGCTGGACCCCACAAGGCTGACAACAAGATACCAGCTTGCCTAGAGTCATATCAGGAATCCCTAGGGGGTATTAGCTTGCCTAGTCTGCCATCAGAAGTCCCTAGGGGGTATCAGATTGCCTAGACCCATATCAGGAGTCCCTAGGGGGTGCCACTTCCAGACTCATTCATGTTGGCAGAATTCGGCTCCATGTGGCTACATAGTAGGGTGTCTGTTTTTTGCTAGCAGAGGTCTCTCCCTCTAGCACATGGGCACCTATATCCCGAATCCTCATACTTGGGTTCTGTGACTGCCACACCTTTCTTCTGCTTTTCTTTTTTCTAACCAGCCAAAGATTCCTGCTTTGAGGCCTTGGGTACTTAGATTGGCCGGCACACCTGCCCCAGGACAGCCTCCTGACCTTGAAACCCACACCCACCTTTCAGCTGCAAAGTGCCTTCTCACTGGTGCCTGTACACCAGTGATGAACAGCTAGGGCACAAGAATCTTGGGGGAACATCTTTAGGATTCTGCCTACCACACTCCCTGCATGGGCAAAGGGGTGCTGCATCTTGAAAAAGAATGGAGACAGTGGGATGGAGCTAAGAGAGTGAGAGGGATAGTGTTTGGCTCTAGGAAGGCCTTCGGATTTTATTTTCAATTCAATAGGAATCTAGTGGAGGACTTTTACATGGGAGTGTCAGGAACTAATTTATACCTGAAAACAGACCAGTACAGTGAGTGTGGAGGCTTCTTTAGCAAGTGGGTCTTGTTCCACCTAGCAGGGCCTGAGACAGGAAAGGCTGTCAGCCATGACATGGGCATGACCTCCACTGTGAGCCTGCATGTGTGTGTTACTGTGTTCCCCAAAGTGGTAGTGTAACAGTGATTTTTATTTTCTTTTTGTTCATCTCTATTTCTCCCATGAACATGCATGACTTGTAAAACAAAACGGTCCATTATAAAAATGTGAAAACATTTAATCTTTAAAGAGAATACTACAGGCTGTGAAGTAGTGTGAATGTATTATTAAGCATCACCTACCCCATGAAAAGGTACATTCTTCACCTTGAATTCTGTGGACAGGTCTCTGATATTAGGTTAAAAATTGCTATTTCTGAGCATGTATTCATTAGTTAGACCTGGTAAGGGAAGAAAATCACTAGAGATTACAAACCAGAACAAAAAACTGGCATTTTCACTCTGACTTCTGGGGAGAACAATTAAACAATAAGCAAGCACTGTTGAATGTAAACCCCTATACTAGCCAACACTAAGAATTTCATGGTGTTCAGAAGAAATTCTTCAGCAGAAGAGTTATACAAATCAGACACATCCTCATATACAAATGGGATTTTTTTCATTTCAAACTGAGCATGCTATTCCTATTATACATCTTCAAAAGAAAGGCCTCTTAGAAACAAAGTTCATTCTTCTTTTGTTTGCACAGGCTTACACTGCAGGTAATAACTGGGAGACAAATGAGGGTTGTATAATAATCAATTGTAAAGTTCAGTTATTGTCATTCTATCTTATTTGAGGTAAGAATTCAAAATATACACTAAAAGCACAGTTAGTAAATTCCCAGTTTCTGATACTAAAAGGCTACAAATAGGCCATCTTTTGATTCCAATTGTCCCATTTACTTTCCACAACCAAAAGTTCTGTTCCAGTTTTCATAAAGTTCTAAATCTTTTGCAGACACACTAGGTCGCACAGTTCTAAACGCATTTTCAAAGTCAATGTGAGCTATAGGTCGAACTTGGTCTGGTGCTATCGTGGCAATGTCAGCAGTGTGTAAACTGCGAATGGGCCCAAGGGAAGCCTCTCTGCAAAGCTGTGTCATGTCAGCTCCCGAGAACCCTTCAGACTGCTGTACAACCAGTTCAAGTTCCTCTTCACTGAAGCAACAGTGCTCCTTGGACATCAGATTAACCACTATCTGTTTCCGGGCTGAAGCTTCTGGGAGGGGAATATAAAGCCTTTTCACCAACCTCCTCCGGGCAGCCTCATCGATTTCCTGTGGCCGATTGGTTGCTCCCACAACTAGAATACGATCTTCAGAAGATGTGGTTGCTCCATCTAACTGAACTAGAAATTCCGTTTTTATCCTTCTAGAAGATTCATGCTCACCATCTCCCCGCTGAGATAATAAGGAATCAATTTCATCAATGAATATCACAGCTGGTTGCTGACACCTTGCAACAGCAAACAATGCACGAACCATTTTCTCCCCCTCACCTACCCACTTAGAAGTCAAGGAGGAAGCAGAGATACTAAAGAATGTTGCCCCAGACTGACTAGCAATGCACTTGCCAATCAGAGTCTTACCAGTCCCAGGAGGACCAAACAGCAGAATTCCTTTAGGGGGTCCCCGTAAACCAATAAAGATGTCTGGCCTCATCATAGGCCACACAACTATCTCCTTTATCGTGGCTTTGGCAAATTCTACCCCTGCAATATCTTCCCAATTTACCGGAGGGCCATGATCCACAATCTCATTCATAATCAGTTCAATCATCTTTGGCTCCAAGTTCTTCAGACGCTCCTCTGGCTGTGCTGGCTCTGTGGCTGCTGCACCACAGGGCTTATACTGCACTCCGCTGTTCTCATCTCCCCCATCTTGCTTAGGTACAGGAGGAACAAACTTTCCAAATATTCCTCGGGATCTACTAGCCCCCAAAGACTTCTTGACACCACCATATGAAGACCCTGATGCACGCTGCGGTTGGTGGAACTTTTTTTGCTGATCCACCCATAATTGCTCTTTGGCAGTTTTAAAAGTAGGCAGGTTGTTCTCCTCTCCTTGGCCACTATCTTCTGTTTTACTAAAAGCCTTATTCTGTATTGGGGTGGAAAGCACATCAATGGTACCAGAACCATAAAAAGCTTTCCTTTCCCGTGGATTTTCACAGCCAGCAAGAAAACAAGACTGATTAGACAAGAATGTATGCTGTCCTTTGCTGGCTTTTGGAGAGCCACTAGTTTCCCTTTTGACATTTCCAAATAATGGTGTGGCATGGAATTTTGCAGTGGCTAACTCACCAAAAGGTGTTGGGAATGTAGGACACACCTGACTGGTGTTAGTCACCACAGGTGGCTGGGCATTCTGAGGGTACTTGAAAGGATTGCTCTCTGAAATGTCTTGGGTCCTATCTGTACCATGACCTGAGTTAGCTAATGGGCCACTCTCCCCAGAACCTCCACAAACACTAAATTTAGGAAAACTAGAGGCAACAGCCTCTTTATGGATTATTACCGATGCATCAGCAGGTGCCAACAAAGAGTCTCTGAATTTCTTGCCAGCTTGCATCATCTCCTGTACTTTACTCATTTCAAAAACATTATTTATTGACAATCCAGACTGCCACTTGTCACTGTCAGTTTGGTGAGATCTTGCTAAAGTTAAAATATTTTCCGCATAGTTATTCAAGCCAGTTTCAACATTGTCAGAATCAATAATTGCAGAGTATTTCTCTGCATATTTCTTGAACAGTTTGGAAGCACAGACCTGGGAGATCTCAGAGTTTGCCCATGCATACTGAATGCGTAATATCTGTGCTCGGTAGGCATCTGCCTTCTGTTCTGATGTACATGTGCCAGATGTAATTGCAAAGTAATTCTTCTGCCATTCACTCAGGTGCACAGCCCGAGAGCCAGAGGCCTGCATTTTAGAGGTTCTGTAAGAAGTGATGAAAATGAAGTGAAAGAGTCTGTATCAAGCAGAAAACAAAGCTATAATACATTAAGCATACTTTTTAAATCTCTGCTTATCTAAAGAAATGTATACTGGACTTTTCATTTTTAAGGTAAATGTAGGGATAAACCACATAGAAGGGAAATATGTAGTTAATAGATTTCAAGCATTTCAGACATAAAAGAATAAAGACTTGACTTAATAATGCTGTTATAGGTTAAACTGTTATAGTTGTAATTGCCCCTGCAAATATGGAAAACATTCAAAAGGTTTAGATGCAAAGGATTTTAAATCCATATGCAGAAGAAAGGCCATATGTAAGAATAATGTATCTGTAGATAAAGAAAGAAAAACAAACCTGGAGTTTAAGTCTGGTCTCTGGAGAAAATTAGATGACTTAAACAAGCCTTCTATTTTAGCTGAGCCTTCAGTTCTATCTGTAAAGTGAGAGAAATCATTGTGTCAAGGCAAATAATGAATATAAGAACATTTTGAAAACTACTATTATCCTTCCTATTGCACAAATGTAGAAACCAAGGCTGAGAGAGTTAAGGAGCTCAGGAGAGATGACAGAGCCAACTATCAGGGGTGCCAGAAATGCTCCATGAGCAGCTTCACTCCAGGCAGTGTGCAGTGTCACCAGACACAAAGTGCTCCTTGATGTCACCACCAAGAGGCGCAGCAACATGCACCATTAGCATGCACAACTATCATATGCTAAATGATTTTTAGAACTTATTTATAAATGATCACTTAAAATAGGACGCTTCAGAATCTGTTTCCCAATTTCACATGAAGTATTAAAAAAGTGAAAGTGTTATGATAAATGACAAGCTTTCCAGTCTGCTAGTAAAGTGCTTTTGAGATTTCTTCCCCCAAATTATTTTTATAAGCCTCCTTACATTACACTAAAGTTATTTTAACAGAATTATACATGGATGTATTATGTGGCTGAATGTGTAGAATTTACCTGCCAATCCACAAGAAAAATTTGCTAAGAAAATATCTGTTTCCTAAGAGCATTGCAACAGAGTAAAAACCAAGAACTCGTAGTATTTTTAAATTTACTCCCCAAATTATCTGCAAACAGCTTAAAAATCCATAGGTTCTTTTAGTGCAGGAGGCAGGTTTAATACAGTTTATCACCCCTAATGTGCTACAAAGAATCTGTCACAACACATATAAATTTATTTTTTTCAGCAAAGACCATGAGCATCTAAGACCCAGTGAGATTCTACTTTGCTTAAAACTATAAAGCTAAATAAACTAGAGTGAAAACTAGAACTGACCTCTCCTGACAGTTCATCCCTTTCCACTACACCATTTTAGCTTATCTTAGTCTCTTTTATGCAACAGCGGAAATGAGTAATTCAAAGAGAGTTGACTCGGAGAACATTTATCACATTACTGTGAACCTCCTCTTCCCCTCCCCTGGCTTCAACCCTCTTTATCCTATGCAATCCTGGGATTCCTCCTACAGGCCAGAGTTCTAGTCACTGTTCCCAAAATACCCTGCTTTTTCCTTTCCACTTTACCTCAAGTCTTCTCCCTTTCAGCTCAAAACTTCACACAACAAATATGCCTATGGATGAACAAACCACTCTTCAGCCCACACTGATCAGTGACGCAGCCACTGTCCCAGTTACCATTTCCAATTCACTTTAATCTTTATAGCATTTCTGTGATCTACAAATTATGGTTAATTATCAATGACTTCTGAACTGCATTTTAATCTTTTTTATTTTGATAACTTTCTGTTTAAGAATGTGGTATCTGTCTTTCTAACTAGGTAT